CAAAAAGATGCCTTTGTCCTCCCTAATTGGCTTGGTCTAGAGTTTGAGAATTATGAGTCAAGATTCAAGATTAGGTATGCAAAGGTCAAGGATCCATGCCGCACAATAAATAAATGATGAAGGCTTGAAAAAGAAAAATCCTCACAAGGTTGTAGCAAAAACTCACTAAAGGTGTCAAATCCACCAAAGGAAGCAACTCTGTCTTACCACAAACCAAAAGAATCCGGCTTCAAGGCCCCAAAAGTTCTAAACCGATACCTTAGCATACCCTACCCTAGTGTCAACCACAAATATTCTCAAAGCATGCACACCAATAAAACATAGGAAAGCATACATGCAAAGGCAAAATTACGAGTTGTAGAATGTCCAAAGAAAAGAGCTAAACAAGCAAAAAGAAAAAGAATAGCCTCAAAAATGTTTTATTTTTATTTAAAAGAAGGAAAAGAACTAAAAATCAAAATAAAGAGAGAAAAGCACAAGAATGCAAGCAATTACAAGTAATACCCAATCATCAAACAAGTGGTCAATCGGCAACAACGTCAATGACCCTAAACACGCTAGGTGTTACAAAGAAAACATCCTCGAACCCTTAAACTCATCCTAAAGCTAATCCTAAAATAAGCATCAAAGAAAAGAAAAAGAAGAGATATAGAAAGAACTCACCGGGCTCCAAAGCTATGCTATATAATCAAGGTGAAAGAGCACCTTACGAATCGTTGAAATCCAAAACATAAGCAATAGAGAAAAGTGAGAAATAAAGAACTATATACAAAGAAAATTGTTAGTAACTTCCAAACAAAAGCAAAGAAGAAAAGAAAGAAAATAAAATAATGGAAGTAAATAAAAGCAAGTAGTAATAGCAACATGAGTAGTATCCGATGAGACATCAGACCGAAATAGTAACACGAAATAAGATATCGGATAATCATCATTAGGAATCATCATAACAGAGATATAGAGAAACTCATCAGACAGCGATCAGAGAATCAAACAACAAGGCCAAAACCCGGCAGAGAAATCAACAATAGTACAACATCATCATCATAAAACCAAAGGACTCAGAGATCGATACTATATAGAAGCATACGAGACCAGGAATGAACTACAAAAGCAAGGGGGGAAACAACGAAGCACAAAAACAAACGACATAGAACACCCCCAAGCTTAAAATGGGCTACCCCCTAACTCTAAACCTAAAGACACATAGGCAATAGAAAAACATCATATAAAGCACATAGGAGGGGGGGCATGGTAGAATCATTCCGCACTATGGTAAGGGGTAGAATGAGAACTCCCCTCATCGGTCTCCATCAAATGACTAGAGCTTGCCATCTCGCTTACCTCCATGGGAGCCTTACCCCTTAACCGACTTTCCCTCCTAATTTTATCAACCTCAAAATAATGAGAACAATTATCTAAGACCGAATCACCCGACCTACCCCACCTACCAAAAGTCTCGGGGTCCGGAAAAGGCGAAGGATTATCCAGATCATATGCATAATCACAATCACCGGGCCGCCTATAATCGTAGGTGCTCGGAGTAGTGCCTATGATAGAACTAGAGTGAACATGGGGGCCCTCCCTATAAGGGTAACAAAGTCTAGGACCCACAGTAGGATCACAAGGCTCCCATTGAGGGACAAGTCCTTGTTGGACTGGGAGGTATAGATAATTGACATAAGGTTCTATTTTCCTCCTCTGAACATGCAAATCATATAATTCATACATATGGTAATCATAACCAAGGGGAGGGGGTTGCATAGAAGGCATGGAGTACAACAAATTAGTAATAGAATCAATCTTGGCATGAATGGTTGACATATCAAAAGTAAAAGGAGTGGGAGAGGGGGAAAGAGTTGGTGTACCTCCCAGCTCAACCGGGGGAAGAGAATGACCATTCGATGAGCAAGCATTGGTTGAACGACCTCTCGTATAATTTGTCCTTCGTCGGATAGAAGGGTTAATATCTCGCATCGGGGGCCTCCAAGACAAGGAATCTCTCTCGTCGGGCCGGGTAGTTGCCTCCTTGCATGGGATGAGGAACCATTCCTTAAATTGAAAAACTTTCCAAATGAAAACATCATCCTTCCTAGTTCAATCGAGAAACTTTTGATTCACAAGGGAGGAGATGTTGAGGAAATGAGAGGGAGACTTTTATCGAGGATCGATAATCAAGGGAAGCTCATATAAAAAAGTCTTGTATTCATCATTAATGCAAAGAGCTAGGATAGAAATCATCCCACACAATTAGATGCACCTCGATTGGCAAACTCCATCACGAATATCCAAGAATCGAGTGATCAAATGCTCCGTGAAATCCACCAACTCAATCTCAAAGTCGTTTTGGTTGGCTATCCACAACCAACAAAGATCCTCACGAGAGATAGCTCCCAAGGAGTCCTTGGAGCAAAGAGCGTTCGTGAGGATTCGGTTGAAATACCGCATAGCCGGATGAATCATGAAGTGGACTTTGAAGTTTGAGGGTCATAATTTCCTTCCTTCGAGATACTCCTCCACCAACGTTGCTCATCATATCCATGATCACTTGTCATTCTACTATGTGTCGGATAGACACAATGATCCAGATCCTCGGCCCAAGGAAACTTGAAGTATGAACATAGTTGAGCATCCGTCAATGAGTGATCATTGTTGAAGAGTTGGAAAGTCAAAATCTTTGAGTAAATTGCACCCGGTTCTTTGACAACTTTAAGAGAAGAAAGGAATTCATAAGTCATCCTAGCATAAGTAGGGGCACTCAAATCCAAATACTCTAAATGATCAAGGCCCTCTGTAAGAAGGCAAAAATCCTCATTAATCCCTAGAAACTTGGTTGTTGTTTGATCGTAGAATCTCGTTGGTCTAAGATTCCTCTTGGATAGATGCTTGAAACAATCCCAATGTGATTCTTGTGGAAACTTAATGCCATAAGTTTCTTCAACTTTCTTCAACCTCGGGTGGAGGTGGAAAAACATACCTAGGCTTGCTTGAACTTGCTCTAGCTCGCTTCTTATGATGAAGTGTGGCCAACTACAAAGTATCAAGACATAGCATAAGTAGTTTTTCAAGAACAAGCACAAAATGAAAATATCTCACAATAGAAGCAAGAGATGGTAATAAATGAACAATTCCATTAATAAAATCATGAATATTAAGTAGATAAACATGGATTTAAGGCAAAATTGAACATAAGAGACCAAATCATTAGTCTAATTGAGCAAAATAAATCCCAAGCATTGAATTATCAAAGATATAAAACCATCATAAAGAAAACCCATGACAGAGAAAATAGCCAACAATGGTTATTCAAGAATCCAATCAAAGTTTACACATTTATCATGAAGAAGCTTCAATTCAACACTCAATGATATCATTCAACATAAATTTCAAGTGAAAAGAACTAACCGTAGAGTTTCACCATAAAAGCATAACAAGGGTTTCAAGCTTGAATCAAAGAGGAAAAAGATGACTAGAAAATAAGAAACCATACCTCAATGAAGCCTTGAAATGCTTGTAAAATGCCCAAAATGAAGATGTAATAACAAATAGAACTCCAAAAAACAAGCTCCAAACCTAAACATACAATTTCAAAAAATTTTAAAAAGTCCCAGTTTTTTATTGAATTGGGGAAGAAAATCTGAAATTTTTGGGATTGGAATTTGAAAACTTGATGTGGCAATTGAAATTAATGTTGAAATGATAGCAAAAGAGGTGAAATAGGTTTGATTTTGCAAGAGAGGGTATAGGGTTTTAGGAGGGAAAAATGAGAGAAATGAAAGAGTAGGGTGCGTTTTGGGGTTATAAGAGCTAACACCTGATGTGTGTGTGCAACAGAAGGTCGTGCCCGCTCCCAAAATCTCCGCGCCCGCGGCCAGCCCGCGGGGTGTTCCTTGGCAAATTCAGAAAGTTTTTCTATGCAAACTCCAGCGCTCGCGGCCCGTAGTCCTGTGCCCGCAGGTAATCTTTGTGGTGCGTGCGCGCAACCTGTTGTGTGTGCACCACATGCATCTCGGGGAAGGCTCTAAAAAGAAAAAAACCCTTAATGATGCATTCGTGTTTGCATTCTCATCGTTCCTTTCAAATGTTATGATCAAGGACTCAAAAATTTCATAAGAAACAATCCAAAATATGTTTGAACATGAATAAAAATCGATGGGAATGCAAACACGAGAACATATAACTTCAACGAACCCTTTCCTCTAAGCTTAACCAAACCTCATGAAATCTTGAAATAGCACCAAAATTGTTGGAAATTTTCTCCGATCCAATCTCATGGTACCTAAGATCAAAAGAACAAACAAAAATAAAGAGATATCAGAAAAGTTCTTAAAGGAGGAAGTATAAAAAATTGTAAAACCAAAGAAAAAGGTTAAAAAACCGAGTTGCCTTCCGGGTAGTGCTTTTGGTTAACGTCGTTAGCTCGACGTCCTCCACCAATTAAGGTGGTTGTCGGAGAAACAATGAGTCAATGAAACCAACAAAAGCATCATCGAAATGCTTCATTAGACGATTGCCATTAGCCTTGAACGGAGAAGGAGAATCTTTCATTGAGACTTTTACAAAACCTTTTGGAAAAACACTCTTGGCAGAATTGAGACCGCTCCATCTTGTTCCCTTGATGCTAAGGTGTGATGGAAGAGGTTTGAGCTCAACCATTGGTAAACCTTCACCTTCCTTAGAAGTGGCGGCTTGCAAAGCTTCTTGGCTTGAGATATTCATGCACATAGACTCATCCACTTCCTCAATGCTTCCATTTAGCAAATCCTCATACAATGCCACTTCCTTGATAGGAGCACCTATCTTATCCTTGTTTAACAAGACATTCTCAAGAGGATCATTAGAAGTGAGCAAGTGCTCATGCACGGAAGATACATCAATATTAAGAGAATCAATCAACATGCAATTTTCTAGAGAAGAACATGGATACTTCATGCTTTCATTCAAGTTAAACTCAATGACCTCTTCTCCTACCTTGAGTGAAATTTTTTCACTCTTAACATCAATCATAGCACCCGAGGTAGCAAAAAAGGTCTACCAAGAATAATGGGAATGGTAGCATCTTCATCCATTTTAAGAACCACATTATCTACCGGAATCACAAACTTCCCTACTCTCAAAGGAACATCCTCAACTTTCCCCTTAGGAATGTTGATTGACCTGTAAGCCAAATGCAAGGTAAATTTTGAAGGCATAAGTTCCCCTACTCAAGTCTTTGATAAACCGAATATAGAATAAAGATAACACTAGCTCCTAAGTCACATAAGGCATTATCAATTTGCATCTTATTAATGGCACAAGGGATTGAGAATTTTCCGGGATCTTTCAACTTGGGTGGTATCTTGTTCATAATAATTGCACTATAATTCTCGGTCAAGTTGACTGTCTCCACCACATCACAAGTCCTCTTACCACTCAAAATGTCTTTAAGGAACTTTGCATAGTTGGGCATTTGGGTAGCAACTTCGGTAAAAGGTAGAGAAAGATAAAGTTGCTTAAGAATGTCAATAAATCTTCCAAATTGTTCATTTAACTTATGTCTCATGAATTTTAGTGGATATGGAAGCTTGGGTTTCACAATTTCTTTCTCCACTCTCACCTCTCTAGGTGTCTCAATCACAACCTCACTAAAAGATGAACCATTTCTCTCATCCTCTACCAAGACCTCCTTGGGGACCTCCTTAGTTCCGCTCTTCCTAGGCAAACTCTCCTCAAGGACCTTACCCCTCCTTGTGACAATAGCATTCACGGGTCTCTTGGGATCTAAACCTTGGGAAGAATCTCGTGATTGAACCCACATTTGTGCGCCCGCGAAGACGTCGCGCAGAGGTCGCGCAGACTTACTGCCTACACTCTGAATTTCGACTCCAATTGTGCGCCTTCTAACAAGGCTGCGCGGCCGCGAAGCCCCAATCAAATTGGTTGCTGCAATTGCGGGCAATTGGTGGTTGCGAATTGGCTTGCGATGCGGCTTGGGTAAGGGTGATTAGAGTTGTTGTTGCGGGTGTTACGGTGAAGTTGGGTGGCTGCAGCTGCGGTGAGGGAATGGAGCAGCTGCTAGGTGTAGTTGGAGGTGGAAGGAGGTGTTATTGGTGGGCTGAGAGCTGTGTGAGGTAGCAGGGGCTGCTAGTGGTTTAATTGGTGAGGTTGTGATTGCTGGTGGTTTGGGTTGCGTGGGCAGCGTTGCTGCTGGGAACGACTTTAATTGGTGGCTGACGGTGGTTTTTGGTGTGGGGTGAGTTGCGTTGTTGTTGTTGTTATTCAGTGGATGGTGGTCGACGGGGGCCGTGGGCTGGTGTGCGTGGTGTTTGCGTGGCTAGAGGTCAATTGTGGCGGGTTGCTGCTGGTGCTGGTGAATTCGGCTGTTGCTCGGGCATTATGGTGGATGTGGGGTTGTGTGAGGTGGATGAAATGGGGGTCTGATGGTGTTGTGTTTGTTGCTGTTACTGTTGATGTTGTTGAGGGAAAGCAGGGAGCAGGGCAGTGTGGTGTAGGATAGGGAAATGGGTGGTGATGGTTAAGGTGATAGCAGCTAGGACAGCTTGGAACATGTTGGTTGACTCAATTCTCGGACCTTGAACTCGATCGACCAAGGACCCGAAAACACCTACAACCAAAAACAACACGAGGGGATTATCAAAAGATAAAAAAAAAAAAAAAATTAAGATAAATAAAGTAAAATAAAATAAGATAAATAAAGTAAAATAAAATGCTAAAACTAAAGAAATAATAAAATTAAATGAAATAAAAATAAAATAAAATAAAACAAACTAGAAATTAAAAGAAAATAAATAAAACGAGAGAAGAGGAAAATTATTAACTAAAACTACAAAAATAAACTAAAAACGCAGTCTTCAGGCGGCATTCTCTAGCTTGCAGGAAGTCGTCAAAAATACAGAAATACAGCAATAAAGCAGCAAATCGGTTACCTTCAGAGACGTGTACTCGACGGTGTAAGATACACGTTTCTTAACTCTCTTGTTTGTTTTACTAACGCTAGTTTGCAGGTATCGGCGTTACAAGAATGATTTAGAATCGCAAAACGTTCTGAATCATTCTCCGTCCCTATCGATACTTTGACTTTTGTTTTCGAAACTTGCGTTTCTCCAAACTTAGTCAAAGTGGGGGCTTCTGTAGACACCCATTTGTGTATCCCCAAAACCAAACCTAGTGATGAGTACCTTTCGCGTCGAATCATAATCGAATAAAGTGAAAGTGTGGAAAGTTTAGTGTTGCGGATAGTTTTAATTTCTTTTCTCTTCTCTCTGTTTTTGAAAACCTATTTTAAGAAAACAGCCAATCCAGTTTGTTTTGGTCCATAGTATGGGTCCAATAATGGTGTAGCTTGATGGGGTTTGAAAAGAGCTTTCCAACGATATATTATAAGCCCAATTCCGATGAATAATGAGGAAGTTATGCCCAATTATTAAACTGGGCCCGGTTTGATACTTATATGCGGCCCAATGATCTAGAGGAGGGCCTAATATGGATTTATCATTCCTAATGCAATTAGAATTGATTTTAGTATTCTAGATTCTACTAGATGATTCTTTTCATTCCTAATTCAATTAGCATTGATAAATTGACTTTGGTTAACTTTTTAGAGTTTTAATCAGAATAAAAGAGTGTTTTTAAGGAAAATACGATTTTGCCCTTCTGTACGGCTAAATTTTATCTGAAATAAGAAAACGCGTGAAAATATTAATTAGCGCCTAACGACAGACATTAGCGCCAGCGCCTGGTGCTAATGTTCAGCGCCTGACGCTAATTTCTTTTATCCTCGTCGAAAGTCTGATTTGTTTTTTATCCGTTTGGTTGATTTTCTCTATAAATAGCCTCATAAAAACCTCCATTTTTCATCACCAATTCTCATCAAATATCACCAACTCTCTAATTCTCTTCTTTCTTTAAGCTAAAGCTTATTCTTTCTCTCTTTTCTAAACTAGCCCTTTTTACAAAAAAATTCTGCATTTACAAGATCTAGAAACACCTAGCCAAATTCGAAGTTGCCTTCGCTTTAGACGTGAATGGTTTAAATTTCTGAGGGTTTGGTCCCAAATCTCTCTTTCAATGTTTAATTTAATTGTTGTTTTATTATTTTCTTTGAAGTTACTAACGCGTGTATTTTGTTATTAGAAAGAGGTATGAGGCATCCAAGTAAGTGATTTAATGATTTTAATTGGTATTATGATGTAGAAATCATGTTTAGGTTGTTATTTTGATTCCTAGTGTTATGTTAGGGTGTTTTTATCTTCCTAGTATCATGTTTAGGGTAACAACTAACAATTCCTTATATCAAGTATGATTAAAAGTATGCTTCCTATTCTTCCTAATATTGATGTTAGTATCATGTTAGGGCTAAAGCTTTAATTTTTATTGTTTAGTGACATGCTAGGGTTTGTTATTAATCTTGTTAGTATCATGCCTAGGATCTTGCTATTATTATGCTTTAACATGATTATGATTATTATTATTATGATTATTATTATAATTTTTATAATAATTGTTATGATTATTATTATGTTGCTTGGTTTATATTATTGTCATTGCTTGATCACGCCTTTTATGCAAGTTTAAAAGGAATTTGTACTTGTAATCACACTTAATAAGATAATTAATTATCTTGTTAGGGTTAATATGATTATAATTCAAGTGATCACCAATAATAGATTTATTTGTGCATTAATATTCAACCAACATAGATAAACAGGTTTAGGGTAAACCTATTGATTGCATGTTAGTCAGAAAACGCACATGAATACGATCAGAATAAAGTAGAGGCCTATTATTAGGGCAGGTTCAATCTCTTTTAGGTTGGATTTGTACCTTCATCCCCGAACTACTAGTCATGGTTCTAGACTTAGTGTCGAATGCTCGTTCGAGAACTTTCCTTTATGTACATCTCCAAATCTGATAGTGTCTGTGCCTCTGCAAGACACGATGGCCAGAACAAAGCAAACGAAAAGGAGGTATAGGACGGATGGTTCTTGGTACCATTCGGACAGTGAGACTGTCTGATCTGACGGCTCCATTAGGGCGCCTGTCTCTAAAATAAGTAGAGACCCTCCTGGCACCGTCAGCATTCCAAATGACTCATTTTTGGAGGAGTGCAACGAGAACCCCGGGCCGAGTGGATCGGTGCTGGATGATGAGCTGGGGGAGGATACTGCTGGCACCAGCCGGTGGGCCCCCAGCTCCAAAGAGAACTCTGATGATGACTCTGTGTCATCATCTTCCAACTGCGTCCCCCTTAACTCGGAGGAGGCGTAGTCGAACCTTAAAGCTGCCAGAGAGTCCCTCTCCGTTGAGAAGGGAGAGGGCGGGAGAAGTCGTCTACTTCTTGGCGGCATGAATGTGCGCCTTACTATCTGCACGTCCCCAAAGGCAGGCAGAAGATCATCAAGGATGATATTCCTAAGTTTCTTTCTGAACATGTCATGGGGCATGGTTTTCTTCTATTCGTGCCGCATGCCATTGACACGGTCACCTGGCCTGAGATGGCCGTATATGGTGACTACAACTTCGGCTGCTACGAGGGAGCCATCCAGGCTAGACTTTGCTTTCCTCTCCATCCGGCTGTACGATGGAGAGGATCTTGGACGGATACCAGCTGGGTATCTGGCAACTAGCCCCCAACTCTTGGGTCAATATTTTAGGCTACGTTGCCGCCTGCGAAATGCTGGAGGTGGATCCCAGCTTCGAGGCGTTTGCTCACATGCATTATCTGAGCAGGTCGTCCAATCCAAGTGGGATCGGCTGGTTTACTTTACCAGCCACACCTGGTACATGATGACACTGGGGATAGAGAACAAATGGAAGGACTGGAGGACCAAATTTTACATAATCTCTTCCCAAGACGCCCAAAGAAATAGGCGGTACAACCGCTGGACCCAATATCCACGCCTCTTGGCTGGGAAAAAGACCCTTCTGACTGTTCCCAGGCGGGCATAAGAGGAGATCTTTGACCGTGGCCTCTTTACTGTGGTCGAACGGATGAACAACGAGACGGGGGTTAATGAAGTAACCCCCAAAGCTATATTCCCCGATTTGAGTGGCTCTCAAACAGGACGTACTTGGCCGCCTGCAGCCTTAGTATTGAGATGCCGAGAGGTAGCTGGCTACATGATTTTATTAATTTTGCTTGCTGTTTTTATTTATTTCTTTGCTAACTCTTTGTTGTTTGTTGCAGACAAGGCAATGGCCAAGCTCCTTGCTCACACAAAACCAGCCCTCTCAGTCGCCTTCTACCGCTCTAACCTGAAGCATGCGGATGAGCAGCCACCGGGCATCACTCATAAGGTATCGAGCTTGCAAAGTTTCTCTTAAAAAAATGCTTAGCATATTCAGTTTCTCATACTTAGAATTATTTTTACAGTGGCTCATCAAAGCCTGCCCCCTCTTCTCAGCCGGATCCCAAGCTGCGCAAGCAGTCAGCTGGCGACGTTTTTCAGAGCTGAAGGAAACACGTCGCCACTAAGCCTGCCAAGAAGGGAACGGGAGCCTCCTCCCCTACTCAGACTCCTACAAAGCCGGACACTCAACAACGAGTGTCGAAGAGTGGCAAACAACCACTCACCACTACTGGCGGCACAGCAGGCGGCAGCGAAGCCGCAAGGGGAGAAGGAGGTTAGTCATCCGACCATTCGACCATGCGCTTCATGAAATGTTACCTTGCTCAAAATCTTTACTTAGCTATATTTGTATTGATAGATGCCCCAGTGAGGCAAACTGTCCTCCAGATGGGCAGACGGATGCTTTGGACGCTTGATCCTGAGGACAAGGCTGTCGTTAGAGGGGTCG